CCCAGGACACTTGCTTCACCAATACCCAAGCCTAAGGCCTGGGAAAGCTTTAAAAAAAAAAAAAAAAGATAGACTGATCAACGAACAGACAGAAAGATATTTGGTAAACCTGATCTACACTGAATTCCACATCGTTAAGCCATATAACTTGATAAATGTTGACATTGTGTACATTTGTGGAACTTTCCACAATCTAGACAGTGAAGAACATAAATCTACCACCCTGGGAAGTCCCCTGCCCCCCCTCCCCCAACCCCCCTGTGGCCACTGCTGTCTGTTAATGTTGACTAGCTTTCAGCTTTTATAACCTTGGTTTGTTTGTTTCTTAGTTTCTGTGATGGTCCTGGGGCTTAAACTCAGGGACTGGGCACTGTCCTTGAGCTTTTTAAGCTTAAGGCTAGGGCTCTACCACTTGAGCCACATCTCCACTTCCAGCTTTTTGATTGTTAATTGGAGGAAAGAGTCTCACAGACTTTCCTGCCTGGACTAGCTTTGATCTCAGACTCCTGAATAGCTAGGATTACAGGTGTGAGCAACTGGGGCCTGGCTGAATGATGGCTTTTTTTTTTTTTAATCAAGTGACTTTTTTCCTCATTCCATGGAGCCTCGTTATTTCTATTGAGGTGCTGGATACTTTTGAAATTCGTAGGCGCTTTATCAAATTCATGACCTGTGTATGTGATGTCACAGTTCCTTTGAAGTGCATGCGGCTTATGCCAGGTGCACAGTCAGAGAGAGCAGTCATTAGGTGACTTTGTTGTGCAGATAACCCGAGTCAATTTTGTTTTTGACTGGGATCCATCCATTGGAGTTCACGCTTTGATGAGAGGTGCAGACCTGTGGGTTTTGACAAATGCACAGTTAATGATGGCGGCTCAGGACACACGGTCCATCACCTCCAGCCTCCTCCACGGGACTCCTCATCCTCAGCTCCTTTCCCAAATGCTCACTCCCTTTCTGTCATACAGTTTGGTCGGGCCTAGTTTCCATAGCAACTTCTATTACATCATCATCATCATTATTATTATTATTATTATTTGGTAGACCTGAAAATTGCCTGGAAGCAGAGGTTGTTTTGTGGACTGGAATTGGCTGATACTAGAATTTGAGTTCTTCCTTGAAATTTCCATCTCTTAAGTCTCAATTTTCCAATTTCTGAATACATATTTAATAGTTCCTAGCTCTTGAGAGTTACAGAGAGACATGGATGTTAACTGTTGGCAGGGTACCTGCCACATGAAAAGTCAGGGGTTTTTTTTGTTTGTTTTTTGTTTTGTTTTTTTAGTACTAAGTTTGAACTCAGGTCTCACAATGGCTGATCGTCATCAGCCTGGTTCACCATCTTCCTACCCTTCCCCCTCACACACCTGGGATTCCAAGGGTACCACCACACCTGCCTTGTTGGTTGAGAGAGGGGTGAGGGAGTGGCGATAACTTTTTGCTTAGGCTGGCCTCAAAAAGCAATCCTCAGCTGGGCACTGGTGGTGCATGCCTGTAATCCTAGCTACTTAGAAGGTTGAGATCTGAAGATCGCAGTTCAAAGCCAATCAGGGCAGGAAAGTCTGTGAGACTCTTATCTCCAGTTAACCACCATAAAACCAGAAGTGGTGCTGTGGCTCAAGTGGTAGAGCACTTGCCTTGAACTGAAGAGCTGAAGGACAGTGCCCAGGCCCAGAGTTCAAGCCCCAGGACTGACCAAAAAAAAAAAAAAGCAATCCTCTCCATTATTGCCTCCAAATGCCTGTGATTATAGGAGTAAGCTACTGTACCCAGCCCCAGTAGTTAAATCTTGAGTAGCTGAGATTACAGCTCAGTTCCTGAGGAGCTGGGACCATCGGTGCTCAACCACACTGGCTCAATGTTTAATTAATTTATTTTTCTTGAATGTCCATCAAAATCATTTAAGCATGTGACCAGACATCTGAGGAGTATCCGACAGTGCTCTCGCCAGCCATTACTGAACTTATCTGATGACATTTTGAAAATCTGGACTTTCCCTGATTCTTCAGTTTCCCTGTAGAACTTACTACTCTGCTCCCCACAAAAAAAATCTCCCAGATCTTCTTTTTCTAGCTTCTGGAGAGGAACGGCCCCTCCTCCTCTGCCTCCTAGATGATTCTCCCCCCCCCCCCCCCCCCCCAGAAACTCATCCTTTATTTACTTTTTGGGGAAAGACTTGTTTGCATATGTAAAACCAGGGCCATGTTGTTTGCAGATGCTGGAGTCCTGCCAGATATTGAATATAAAATGAGTTGAAGCTTTTAAATCATTTTATAAACCTGGACTCAATAGTTTCTTTTTTTTAAAAAAATTTTTTTTTAAAGAAAAGCCTAAAGATGCCGGGATTGGTTTTCCAATTTAGACATTTTTATTTAGAGTTCACAGTGGCCGAGTTTCAAAGCCACAAAGAGTAAGGGGCCAGGAGCTGGGGGAGGAGAGATGATCAAGAGTTAGAAGTGTAGATTGATCACCAACTCAGAAAACACAAATGCAGGCACCAAGTTAAAAATGACCTAACAACAACCCTTATGCCCAAGCTGGGCATTGGTGGCTCATGCTTGCAATCCTAGCTAAGATCTGAGGATCATGGTTCAAAGTCAGCCAGGACAGAAAGGTCATGAGACTTTTATCTCCAATTAACCACCCAAAAGCCAGACGTGGAGGTGTGGTTCAAGTGGAAGAGCACTAGCCCTGAACAAAAATGCCAAGGGAGAGTACCAGGCCCTGAGTTCAAAACCCAGTACCAGCACAAACATTTTCTAAAAAGAACTCAAGGAATACATTCCCATAGTAGCCTTAAGGTCATGGTTTCCTTCTCCTCTCTCCTTTCAGTGTCTTCTGGGGTAGCTTGAAAGCCATTGTATTGCCTATCAGTGGCTGATAAAGCCCCACACCCTCTAAGACAAAAGGGCAGGAAGTGATAGCCATGTTAAAAGATCATTGTTGACCGTACTGCATGCTTTCCTAAGTCAAGGAAATCACCGGATTCTCATTCCTGTCTAGCACTGATACACAGATCACAGCTTCTTACACCAGTCATCTGGCCAGAACTAGAAGGTTGAAGTCTTTTCCCAAGTCCATTTTGAAACCTGTTGTTAGATCATCTGTAAATACAGCTGGAAAAAAGATGGAGTTCAGATGGAGTTCAGGCCATGCTTGACCTGTTCCCACACAGACCTGGGCCTTAGGGGTCTGGGTCTAGACCACCAGGGGGTAGTGGAAGGTGAGGTGCTTTGGTGTTGCTTTTTTTTTTGGTCTGTTGTGGGGCTTGAACTCTGGGCCTGGGCGCTGTCCCTTAGCTCTCTAGCTCAAGGCTAGCACTCTACGACTTGAGCCACAGCGCTACTTCCAGTTTTCTGAGTGGTTTATTGGAGATAAGAGTCTCCTGGACTTTCCTGCCCAGGATCCTCAGACCTCAGCCTCCTGAGTAGCTAGGATTACAGGCATGAGCTACCAGCTCCCAGCTTTTTTTTTTTTTTTTAATGAACCAGTGCTAAGGCTTTAACTCAGGGCTGTCCTTTTTCACTCAAGGATAGTGCTCGGCTACTTGAGCCACACCTTCACACTTTAGCCATAGCTTTTTGGTGGTTCATTGGAGATGAATTTCACTGGCTTTCCTGCCTGGGCTGGCTTTGGATCACAATCCTCCAATCTCAGCCTCTTGAGTAGCTAAGGCTCAGTATTGGGGGTGCCTCTAAATTACTTAGCCTGAGGGGTACAGCTCACTGATAGAGCATATATGCTCAGCACGTGTGAGTTTCTTCATCCTGAGATGCCCTCTATATAAAGTAAAACAAAATACCTTGTGTGTCCTTGTTAGGACTTAGTCCTAGCTGTTTTGGTGGTGGTGGTTGTTTTGTTTTGTTTTTTGGATAATGGACCAATCACTTTTCTCCTATATGTGGGGATTATGAATGAATTTCTTCCTTTATGCAAGCTTGGATCCTATTGTCTATGAGCAGAGACCTCTAATTGGTGCCTCAGAAGTTGCTGGGGTGACAGCTCAAAGGTAGAGCACAAATGGAGCATGTAAAAGCCCCTGGCTTGACTTCCCAGCATCATAAAAGTTGCCCTATGGGTCAAATGGAGCCTGAGAGTAACAGACTTGTCTCTAGGAGTTACCCCTGTTAAGTGTATGTGTGACTCTAGATTGCATTTCTGGGGTAACTCTTCTTTTCTCTATCTAGCTCAGGGCTGGGCATAGGTACAATCTCCAGTTAAATGGCACTGAATCACATTATCCAGGCCAAGGATCCCCACTAGAAAAAAAGAAAGGAAATACAATGTCATCAAGGGCAAATTAAACCAGAGCCCTCACATCCAAGGCCATGGGTTGGGAGAGGTCGTGGGGCTCCCTGAGGATTAATGGGGTAAGCTTGTGAGTCCAGAGAGCTGCCACAAGGGCGGGGGGCAAGGGGGGAGCAGTTTTTGATTTATCCTACCATGGCCTCTCAGGTCACGGCTCTAGCTATGCCTGGCTGGCTGGCAGGATGCCCGCTTGTTGTGTGTTACTCTTGGGGTTATATTTAAACATGTTGCAACACAACACAAACCAGCACCTCATCAGGCATTGTTTCAGGCTTACTTTTTGCTTTTCCTCTCCTTAGAAAAATTGCCTATAGAATCTAATGACCTTTCCAGAAATGTTCTGAAACAAACAAACAAACAAAAATGCCACCACCATTTGAGATCATTTAGATATTTTGAATTTTTTGTGTGTGTGTGCCAGTGTGGGGGCTTGAACACGGGTCCTCTTGCTCTCATTTGACTTCAGCTTCTTGCCGGTTAATTGGAAATAAGAGTCTGATGGGTTTTTCTGCCTGGGTTGGCTTTGAACTGTGATCCTCAGATCTCAGCCTCCTAAGTAGCCAGAATTATAGGTGTGAGCCACCAGCACCCAGCAGACACTTTTTATCCCCTAATTTTTCTAGTTGTACCTTCCTGTATTCTGAAACTCATCCATACATATATGTTTCTTTTCCCTTTCATTCTTGGGTCAGAAATTGGATGGAATTGTCAAGGTCCGGACTGTTCGAGAAGCCCCGTCAGAGTGTGTCTGCCCCCCAGGTAAGCTAAGAGTTCTTTTCTTTAGTAGCTTCTGATGTCAGTGGGCGGGGCCTTTCTTCCTGCTGTCTGCTCATAGCTTTACAGGTCACCCATGGGCAAGAGGATGGTTTTGTGTTTCAGGCTAGAGTGTGGAGGACTGTTATAGACCTTCCTCTCATTAGCTAGAGACTCAGCAAGCTAAACTGACTTGATTGATTAGCTGTACTGGGAGAGGGACCAAGAGGAGAATGAGATAATTTAGGATGAAGACATTGGTTTTAACACTGTAGGCAGAGCTCTTTCAGATACAGGGCAGAGTCTCTTCCGTCTTGGCTTGTTTGTTTGTTTGCTTGTGGTTGTTTTTGCTTTCATTTCTTTTGATGTAGGCAGAGGAAGGGACCACGAAGCTCACAAGTCTGGATTTTGCAAATGATTGGCTCTGTCTTGTGTTTTTCTGGTGTGGCTCAGGAGCGCCAGGAATAAAGCCAGGATTTGTGGATTCCTAACCCATGTAGCTCAAATGCAGATTTATCTAACAGATCTTCTGGTTGTCTTTAGGGAACTTTCTATGGACCACAATTGAGCATTCGATGGTGAGCTCTACTCTTGGTATTTGCAGGGTTGGAATAACTCTTGCTCAGGATCATGTGTAATACCAGTGAGCGAGTGAAGAGCTATAATGTGGCTCAGCGGTCCTGGCATGCTGGAGGAGATGGTTTCGGTTACCTGTTCCCAGAGCATGGGAGCAGAATACAGTGCCCCTTGTCTTCACTGTCACTCCTATTAGCCAAGCTGCTTACCATGTCCCAGCCCATTTCAACATGTCCTGAGTCTAGGCTCAGAGATCACTGCCAGCCCAGGCCTGAGCTATTCCATGGCAAACGCAGATCTCATGGTGGGAAGGGAGAGGATTTCCTGGCTGAGCTCTAGCTAGAATCTCTGGTGTTCTAGTAAGAGGAAGAAGGATGTGACAAATAATGACCCCATGAGCAAGTTAGTAATTCAGAAATTGCAGTTTACACAGGGGAAACTTAGGCTGATAAATGAATTTCTGGATGAGCAACAAAACGGGTCAAATGGGAACAATCCATCTTTTCGTTGGTTTTCTGAGTGCTGAGTTAGACGTTCAGCCAGCTCTCCACATCATGGCATGCACTTCGACAGATGTTGGCTTATAACCACCTTGGAATCAGCCATCTGGGGATTCAAGGTATCAGCAACGAAAAGTTGAACTCATATTGAACATGTGCGTACTTTTTTTATCATGACTTTCTGAAAACTAGAGTTTACATGTCATGTGCATTGTACTAGGTATTATAAATAATGTAGAGACTATTGAAGTCTATGGGAAAAGGTGCATGAATTATGTGCAAATGTACCCTCTTTTCATATTGGGAACTTGGATAGCTGTGTATGTGTATGTGTATGTATGCATGCATGTTTGTGTGTGTGTGTGTGTGTGTGTGAGAGAGAGAGAGAGAGAGAGAGAGAGAGAGAGAGAGAGTGTGAGTGTGTACTGGGTTAGGAGAACTGGCTAGAAGCAATCGCCTATAGATACCAGGAGAACCTGGACATTCATGTGATTTATATATGTTTGTTTGTTTGTTTTTAAACTGGGAGTCACAACCATTCACAACCATTCACATTAAAGCTCCTTCGCATTTTCTAGGCAGTAGTTTTGAACTTGTGGAGAAGAATAAAAAAGCTGTTTTTATTTGTAGATGTGGCCTGGGTGGCAGTGTGTAATAAGTTTCTTGCTGTGGGTTAGTACCAGAATGGTCCAAATCCCAAAGACAGAGACAGATGGAGAGAGGAGTGTATGACCCAGGGTTCTTGAATAAGTCAGAACTTATATCAAATCTTGGGTCTCTCTTGCTAACCATAGGGATGCTCTCCTCATTCTCCTTTCCCTTCGCCTTTTCCTTCCCTTCTTCTGATGCTGGGGATCAAACCCAGACCCTCTTTTATACAGGGCTGGTAAGTGCTCCACCACTGAGCTCCACCCCTAGCCCACTGTGAGAGCTTTGATTGGATGTGGCAACAATGTTGGAGTCGGTCCTGGACCCATTAAAGTCATTGAGCAAGCACATATCAAGACAGTGACCTGCAAGCTATCCTGTGGCCTGTCCTGTATCCCTCTGTGTCTGGGCAGAGGAAGGAGATGCTGAGCGGCTGACAGAGGCTCAAGGAAGAAGTGATGGAAACTAGGGAGCTGAAAGGCTGCTGGGGAAGTCTGGATAGTTTTGAACACACCATGCATTCCACGAAGCAAAACGTTCACTAGCTTTTCCGTGTTAGATTTTAGCAGTAAATACACAGAGTCGAGCTTCTCTCCTAGCCAGATTTCCTGGCCAAGAGGATTTCGCCATTGATGGTATTTTAGAAGACTGGAGAAGTAACCTTTATCAGCAAGTCTTTGATTCAGAAGGTGACTGAGCTCGCCTCATCCTTTTCTTTCCCTGATGAAGGATCCTTTTAAGCATGGTGCTGGGTACGAGGGACCAAAAAAAAATAGGACACGACCTCACAGTTTGGCAACTCTTTGGGTGTACAGCGGAAAAACGCACGATCTCCCCCCCCCCCCCCCCCCATCTGGCCTCCTGCCTCGCTTGAAGGACCTTTTGTTTTGTTTTGTTTTGTTTTCCTCAATGGGAATTGTGGTTTTTAGGATTGCAGCTCTCAGGATTTCAACATTTTAGGAGTTCAGTCTGGGGATTATGATTTTGATATTTAGAGATTTTTAGACTTGGGGGTGGGGAGGGCGTCATCCTTTGGGGATTTCAACATTCGGGATGAGGACTTTTAGATTTGTGTCTTATGGCACAATTGAGCTCACAATTGAGCTTGGGAGTGGGGGTCAGAACTTCTCCAGCCTGCGGAGACACATTAAAACTCCTTATCCCTGGTCAACCAAGGCTGTACATGTGGTTTGTATGGCCCAGGAAAGGGCCTGGTGTCCTAATCAGGACCTTCTGCCCACCCTTGTCCCTTGTTCTTTTCTACCTGTCATCTGGAGTCTGAGCCCTCACTGAAGACCCCAATCTTTTAGCCAAATAACTCCCCCCCCCCCCCACCGCCAGCCTAGTGGCCTAGCACATGCTCCCAGTGTCCAAAAGAGGACAGAGGCCCTTTTCTGCTACTCCTTTCTTCTCAGCAGACTCTGATCAAAAAGCCCCACAGACTTCTGGAGTCTGGAAACTTAGACCACCCTCTGTAGCTTCATCCCCCGTCTGATCTGAGATACGGAGAGATCCCCACCCCAGTTCCTTCCCACGACCCAAGGAGACAGTGTAATCTATTGTCAGATCCTTGCAGTAGCGGGCAGATAAGCCAGGCTAGGGAGAGGCCATGCTTCTGTATGTCGCCTATTGTGAAGGGGCTGGAAGACCAGGCTGGAAGATCGTGAGTTCCTGGGCCCAAGTCCATGGTACGGGTGACTGGCAGGGCTGTGTCCCCAGCCAGCTCTGCGACCTCAGCGGAGTGCTTGTCATTGAGTCTTGTACCCTTTGTCTAGAAAATAACATAGTGGATTGAATTGTGTTCTCCTACAAGATAGATCCAAGTCCTAGCCCTAGTGTCTGAGAAAGTGATCTGATTTGGAAAGAGTCCTTTTGTTGTTGTGTGTTCCATTACTGAGACATTAACTTGAACTCAGAGCCTAAATGCTGTCTGTCCCTTAGCTTTTTCACTCAAGGTAGTGCTCTTCCATTTAAATCACATCTCTATTGTTTGGCTTCTTAGTGAGAAATTGGAGATATGAGTCTCACAGACTTTCCTGACCAGTCTGGTTTTAAACATCAGTCCTCAGAACTCAGCCTCTTGAGTAGCTAGAGTTACACACATGAACAACCAGTACCCAGCCAGTAAAACATTCTGTGAGTGGTCTTCACCACCCACGCTGTCCAGCATTGTGACCAGGACTAGCTACATGCAACTAGTGAGCCTCTGAGAAGTAGCTTATGTGACAGAGAACCTGAACTTTACAATCTTATTTCATTTTAATGGATTTTAATTGAAATTACCATTATCTGCCTAGTGGCAGATAAATGAAATTGCTCAGCCCTGTTTGGAGGTAATGCATGCATACAAATGCTCCTCATTTGAATGATGGTCTGACATTCCCAATCAACCTCATTAGAAGTTAAAAATATCCCAAATGAGAGAAACACTCAGAATCCTTGTGTTAGCCACAGTTCATCGACACTTAACACAGAGCCTATTTTATAATCAAGTGTGGACTTGCTCATGTAATTCATCAAACAATGTGTTGAAAAGCAAAACCAGAGTAGTCGTGTTTGTGGATTTTTGTACTACAGTAAGAGTTGAAAAATTCTGAGTCAAATTGGAGACTATTGGTATATCAATGAATAGCTCCATTGTTTGTGTGTTTTTGTTTTTGAAATGGTCTGCTTCAGATCATATATCAGAAAGCAGGTGCTAACACTTTTTGGGGGGTCAGTGCTGGGACCCTCTCACGCTGTTGGGATGGATGTCCTGAGATGTACTTGGTTAGTGCCCTGGAAAGACTTTGGGTTGTTTCCTGTCCTGTGACCTTACAGGCCATCCTGCATCTGTTCTGTGTTGGAAAGGACAGCTTTGCTCTATTGGCTTGTTTTCTGACGATCCCTATGACAGAGCCTGGGGTTGCAATGAAATGGAAAGATAGGGCCCCTCCGTTCGTGGGGGAAGCCAGTCAGGTTGACTTTGGAGCTGGATCTATGGGTTATGTCACACAACCCTGGCCTACACCGTGCTGTGACCAGTCATGACACACAAGTGTTCTTCCTGTGTGAGTGTCAGAGTCTGAGAGCCCTGCATTCAAATGTTAACTTTCACTTAATTAGCCACCAGGGGGGTCCCATACTGGTGTAAAAATTTGAGTTCATTCCATCTTTGAAGCGTAGCATCAGAATATTGATTCATGTCTGATTATCCTTCATGGAAAAAAAAATGTAAAAGGAATTTCAGCATGTCACCTAACCAGAAGTAGCAAGGGGCAGAGGCAGAGTCAACTTGAGGTA